CCGCAGTGTGGGTATATCCCGTCGGACATCTTGTTCCTTCTTTCCAAGGTGGGAGAGGATGATATGACTCCCAATATCACGTGGGCGTGGACCTCCACGTGATATTTTCCCTAACATCCAAAGGTAGAGAGGGTGATGTTTCTTCGATTTCGCAGGGGTTGTACACCACCCTGTTATATGTTTCCTAATATCCAGATGGCGAGAGGATGACATCAGTCTGAATATTGCAGGAGGTGTACACTCTCTGGTGATATTGTTCCTAATATCCAGGGATGGAGAGGATGATATTACTCCCAATAAAGCAGGGGTGTACACCCCTTCTGTGACATTGTTCCTAATAGCCAGCCGGAGAGGAAGATATTACCGCCAATATCGCAGGGGTGTACACCCCTTGGATATTGATCCTTATATCCTGGGAGGGAGGCGATGTTACTAGTGGCAATATCGCAGGGGTTGTGCACACCCACTGTGCTATTGTTCCGACTAACACGATATGACTCCCAATATCACGGGGGAGTACATCCTCCTGTGATATTGTTTCTTATATTCAGGGGGAGAGGATGATATGACTCCCAATATCGCAGGGGTTGTACACACCTCCTGCGAAATAGTTCCTAATATCCCGAAGGGGAGAGCATAATATTACTCTCAATATCTCAGGGGTGTACACCTCCTTTGTAATATTTTCTTAATATCCATGATAGGAGAGGATGATAAGACTCCCAATATGGCAAGAAGTGTACAGCCGGCTGTGATATAGTTCCTTACATCCAGGTAGGGAGAGGATGATGTTACTGCCCATATCGTACAAAGTGTAAAACCCCTTCGATATTTTGCCTACAATCCTGAGGGGAGAGGATGATATTACTCCCAATATGGAAGAAGGCGTACACCCCCCTGGGACACTACGCCCAATATTCACGTTGGGAGACGATGACAATATGCCCAATATCGCAGGGGATGTACACCCACCCTAGCATATTGTTCCTTATATCGAGAGTGGGAAAAGAAGCTATTACTCCCAATAACGCAGGGGCTGTGGCTGTACACCCCTCCTGTGATGTTTTTCTTTATATCCTGGGGAAGAGAGGATGATATTACACCCAATACCGCAGGGGGTGGACACCCACTCAGTGATGTTGTTCTTAATGTACTCCACCTCCCACCACCAGGGATATCGTTCCTAATATCCAGGGGAAGAGAGGATAACATTATGCCCAATATTGCTGGGGAGTATACACACCCTCTGTGATGTTGTTCCTAGTATCCAAAGGTAGAGACGATGATATTACTGGCCATATCGCAGGGGGTGTACACCCTTCTGTGATATCGTTTTTGACGTTCAGTTGGGGGAGACAATAACATTAATCCCAATATCGAAGAAGGTGTACATACCCCTGTGATGTGGTTCCTAATGTACAGGGGAAAGAGAAGAATATTGCTCTCAATATCGCAGGGGATGTAACCACCCTGTCCCCCCTATATTCTCCCTAATATTCAGTGGGTTGGCGGCTGACAGTACTCCCAATATCCCAGAAGGTGCACACACACCTGTGATATAGTTCCTAATATCCAACGGGAAAGAGGCTGAGTTTACTTTCGATATCACAGTGGGTGTACACCGCCCCCAACCCCAGGGTATTGTTCCTAATATCCAGGCGGGAGGAAGATGATATGGCTGACAATATCGAAGGGGGTGGACACCTCTTCTGTGATATGGTTGCTGATATCCAGGGGGTGAGTGGATGATGTGTACACCCCACCTGTGATATGAATCATAAAACCTAGAAGAAGAGAGAATGATATTGCTTCCAAAAACACACGGGGTGTACACCCACCCTGTGATATTGTTCCTGTCATCTAAAGGAAGAGATGACGATACTACTCCCACTACCGGAGAAGGCACATACCCCCCTGTGATATTGTTCCTCATAACTTGTAGGGGAGAGCATGATATTACTTCCAATATGACAGTGGCTTGACACCCAGTCTGTGATATTGGTTCTGCACACCAACTCTGTGCCCCTCGTTTCCCATGTGTTCTCTCCTCACTGTTGGAACCTCGGGGGAGGCTTTGTCTTTGGTTACAGATGAAGACACGAGGGGGTCTGAGAGGTTAAGCAAGTTTGTTACTGGAAAGGGGTCCCAATCCAGACCGCAAGAGAGGTTTCTTGGATCTCACGGAAGAAAGAATTCGGGGTGAGTCCATAAAGTGAAAGCACCTTTATTAGGAAAGAAAAGGAATAAAAGAATGGCTACTCTGGCCGGGCGCAGCTGCTCACTCCTGTAATCCTAGAACTTTGGCATGCCGAGGCAGGTGGATCACCTGAGGTGAGAAGTTCGAGACCAGCCTGGTCCAACATGGCAAAACCCTGTCTCCACTAAAATACAAAACATTAACGGTGTGGTGGCAGGTGCCTGTAATCCCAGCTACTAGGAAGGCTGAGGCAGAAGAATCACTTGAACCCACGAGGTGGAGGTTGTAGTGAGCCAAGATCATGCCACTGCATTCTAGTTTGGCCAACAGAGCAAGACTCCATCTCAAAAAAAAAAAAAGGAAAAAAAAGAATGGCTGCTCCATAGGCAGAGTGGCCCGAAAGGCTGCTGGTTGCCCATTTTCGTGGTTATTTCTTGATCATACGCTAAACAAGGGTTGGACTATTCATGAGTGTAGTTCCAGGAAAGGGGTGGGCAATTCCCAGAACTGAGAGTTTCTGCCCTCCCTTCCGAGACCATGTAGGGTAACCTCCAGATGTTGCCATGGCATCTGTAAACTGTCGTGGCGCTGGTGGGAGTGCCTTGTAGCAGTTAACGCATTATAATTAGCACATAATGAGCTGTGAGGACAATCAGAGGTCACTCTCGTGGCCATCTTGGGTTTGCGGCTTTGGCCAACTTCTTTACTGCAACCTGCTTTATCAGCAAGGTCTTTATGACCTGTATCTTGTGGGGACCTCCTATCTCATCCTGTGACGAAGAATGCCTAGCCTCCTGGAAATGTGGCCCAGCAGGTCTCAGCCTCCGTTTACCCAGCCCCCATTCAAGATGGAGTCGCTCTGGTTCACGTGCCTCTGACAAGTTGGCCTGGGTTGAGCGTTCCCTAGTGTGCGGTTGTTGGAGCTATTCCTAGGAGTAAGAGGGATTGTCAGTAGGAAACAGGCCTGTTAGCCCTGGGGCTGGCACTCTGCCCCAGTATGTCGGTCTCATTTTAGTGGTGACAAAACTGGGGCTCAGAGACATCAACTCCCTCATCTCGAACCCCCAGACTGTCAGTGGTGGGCTGGGGTTGGAATGTGGGGCTTGAAGACCCATCATCTCCTCTGGTCCCCCAGTCTCTGCTGCCCAAGAGGAACAGGATCCCAGGATCCAGGCCCCTCATGGCACCAGCCAGGGTGGGTGGAGATGGGAAGGCACAGTTCCAAAGCCCCCCGGACTCTGAGGCAGGTCGGGGGCCGAGAGCAAGCCGGACCTGCGGACCCCACCCCGAGAAGAATGGCTGCAGGCCCGGCCCAGCGGGCAGGAGGTCTGTGTCCTCAGTCAACGTGACGGCGCTTCCCACTCCTCCAGCCAGGCCGTGCTGTCTTCACGTTTCCAATCATGCGGCCTCCTCTCCAATTCCCAAGCCCAACCCACAGAGACAGCGATCTGGGGTCCACGTGAGGTTTGTCAGCAGCTCTGACCCGCTGCTTCCCGCCAGTCTCGCGGCCGGTTCTGGAAAGCTCTCTGCTGCCCCCTGGTGGGGAGGCTCGGGGCAGGGCTCTGGCTGCAAGCATGGGGTCCGAGAACCTCCTGGCTCTGTCACCTCTGCTGGGTGGAAAACCAACCCAGGACTGAAGCAGCAGATGGCTGCCTGATTCCCTATGATCAGAGCTCCGCCCACTGGCAAGTCTCTCTCCGGGCCTCAGTTTCCCCTTCCATTAAACGAGGGGCTTGGGGGATACCAAGGAGGGGTAACAGCTTAGTGAGGATGGCAGGTTTCTTCTGGGGAGATGAAAACATTTTGAAACTAGATGGCGTGAGTGGTTGCACAGGACTGTGAATCCACAAATGCCACCACATTATTCACGTTGAAATAGTTCATTGCATGCGATGTGAATGTCACCTCATTTAAAGTGTTTAAAAGAGGGGCCTGGGAGAGTGCAGTGTATGTGAGAATCACGTGGGACACCCACAGTCTCTGAACCTCGGTTTCCTTGCTGTAAACTGGCAAAGAGACCGTGCGAGCTGTGTTCCCTAAGGCCAAGAGATTCCAACAAGGAAAACCTGGGATTCCAGGGACTGGGATGAGGGCCGGGGACCGGAAGGGGAGGGGTATGTGGGGATGGCTTGGGGGCAGCCCAGATAAGGCTTTCAATACTGCGCAGCAGCATCTACACAGGCAGAGATCCCTGCATCTCACTTCCCGCAGGGCTGACCAGTGGCCAGAGGTGGGACTGGCCAGGCTCAGCCCAACCAAGTCTGGGAGCAGAGGACACTGAGTGAGGGATCCCCGGTGCCACCCTCACTGGCCTGTGGCTCTCCCGACACCACAAGAGAGGTCCAGGAGCTGACCTTGGGTCCTAATGGGGGACACCTTCCTGGCTGCAGGCTGGCAGGGCGGTGTGGTGGTCAGTGTACTGGGCTCTGCGTCTCTGCCCCTACCTGCTGTGTGACGGTGGGCCAGACACCTAACCTCTCTGTGCCTCTATTTCTTCAATGGCAAACAGGGACACTACCAGCCCCCACATCCGGGCACAGTGGCCTGAAGGTTGAAGTCAAGGGCGGCACGAGACCTACAGCAAAAGCTCTGAGCAGGGAGAGCAGGGAGCTGCCTAGAGAGTTCCACCACCATCTCCCCTCTGGCCACCGAGGAAACCGAGGCTTATGGTGACCTGGCCCAGGTCTGTTGAACTCACGGTCCTTCTCATCCCCAAGATCAGAGGGCTGCCACCAGGGAAGGAGCTGGCCCCTAGACACAGCCCAGGAAGCACACAGGGAAGGATGCCCTGGGGACTTCGGTATGTTATTGCAAAGAAAAATTTATTGCTATTTGAACCCTGCTTTCATGCCCCATTTCCCAGAAAATGAGCCACGGGAGACACCAGGAGAGGGAGGAGACCATCCTCCTTGCACAAAACCCACTCCCTCGGATGCTGTCCTCAGCGAGGGTGGCTGGGGGCCAACCAGGGGGCCCACCCGCAGAGTGGCAGAGGAGGCAGGTTGACCCTGCGGACGTTGAGCTCTGTGGCGAAGGTCCTGGCCTTCTGGTAGAAGAGGAGCGACTTCTCACGGTCCAGGAGGAAGTTGTGGGAGACGGTGGCCGGCCGCGTGTAGATCTTCAGCTGTGCCTTCTTGTTGCCCAGGTCCACGGCGGCTGCCAGTGCCAGCTGGTAGTACTCAAACGGGTCCTGAAGGGGACAGGTCATGCTCAGCAAAAGGGGGACTCGGAGCCCATCTTCCCAGAAGCCATTTCTGTCTCCAGGTCATTCCACATGTCCAGCCAATGCTGGCTCAACCCATGAGCCCCGAAACCTGTTACACTGCTGTGGTCTCAGCTGCAGGAAGTGGGGACGACCCTGACACCACTGGAAGCCTTCCTGACTGTCCCTACGCCCCACTCACCCCAACCGTCCTGCCCCAGTGCCACCCTCTCTGCAGGCAGTGGCTGCTTTCCCCATGGGCCGAGGTCAGGGCAGATCCTGCCTGCTCTGAGAGTTCCATGCAGGACCCGTGGCTCCGAGCCACAGCAGGGGCACAGCATTGAGTGACCCAGGCTCCCCTCTGACCCCTGTCCATGCTGACCATTTCCAGGCCCTCCACGGGACAGGCCAGGTACAAAACCATCTCACAGGTGTCCTCTCTGGCAATGTTCCCTGAAATATTGACGGAGTGTGACGCCCCAGACATCCACTCCCATTTTCAATGCATCTTTGGCCCAAACTCACCATCCCTGGGTTGGGATGCCGCCTCCCAGAACTCCTCCTTCACCCTCCCATCCCCCACCCGGCTTCTCCCCAGGCGCCTCCTCCACATGGGGGTCACCCAAGGAACCTCTCTGAGACCCATGCCTGGCCTGTCCCTCTTTACCATCTCAAGATGGCTCCCAGGGTCAAGGACAAAGTCCAAGATGCAGCAGTCCATTCCCCCACTGCCCCGCCCCACACACGGAGCAGGGGCATGAGAAGGCCCCGAGTCACCGCCACTGCTCATCCAATGCCCCCGGCCCAGCCGAACACTGGACTCTGTGCTGGGTGCGTGGCTGAGCCTAACGTCCTTGCTCCCAGTCTGAGGGACCTGGGAGTAAACACTGACCACACAGGGTGGCCCAGGCTGTGGCAGAGGGAAGCCCAGGAGCCTGTGGGGGGCCCAGGAGGCCCCAGACTCAGCCGGGGGTGGAAGGCAAAGGCTTCCTGAAGGGGTGGGGGCATCCCAACGAAACAGGAAGGAGCCAGCCAATGCATATGTCTCTGCGTGTGCCTGTGCCTTTGTGTGCCTGTGCGTGTGTCTGTGCGTGTTTGTGTGCCTGTGTGTGCGTGTCCCTGTGTGCCTGTGTGCATGTCTGTGTGTGCGTGTGTGCACCTGTGTGTGCGTGTCTGTGTGTGCGCGTGCTGTGTGTGCGTGTGCCGGTGCCCGTGTGCATTTGTGTGTGCATTTCCATGTGCCTGTAGTGTGTGCAACAGCTAGTGAGTGGCAGGCTGAGCCAGGACACACTTAATCTTCCCTATTCCAGGGCTCACTCTCACGTGTACACTAAAGGGGACCCCATTTTAGAGGCAATCGGCAAAGATGCCCATTTACCCCTGCCTCTCTGCCAGCCTTCCAGGCCCCATGCAGCCCGGCGTTTTCTCCTACTCCTCTGGGCCCTGGGTCCAGAGCCTCCTATACAAGGAGGAGGGTGTAGCCTTGGAAAGACAGCCGCCCTTGGGGAATTCCAAGGGGGCCTCCCTGTGGGAAGCTGGCCTGCGCTGACAGCATAGTCACGATGAGGCCCAGAGGGCTGTGCATGGGAAGGAGGTGAAGGAGGCCTCTGCCCCTCAACCCCAACCGTGGACTTTGGCCTCTCAGGTACTACTTGGCCCTTTCCTTCCTCCTGGGCAGGCGGAGTGGGCGGCAGGCTTGACCAAGAGAGATAAAGGCCTCTTGGACCACTTCTGACCACCAGGTGTCGCCAGCACTGGGCGGGGGCCTTCCGGGCAGCCCCAGGCCTGCGGTGGGGGATACGATACGGGGCGAGGTCGTAGGGCTGCCCCAGCTCCTCATGTTGTTCTAAGGACCCCAAGATCTCGGCCCCTGGACTGGAGTGCCCTGGCCCCTCAGCCCATAAGGAGCACTGACGCTGTGCCGGTGCGATGCTGAGGAGGGGCGGTGCCTGCTGGGCAGAGGGGTGGAGACACGCCAGGTCTGAGTCTGACAGTCCCAGCTCTCCACCCCTGCAGGGCTGGGGGCAGAGGGAGCACAGCACCTCCGCTCCAGACAGATGCCACCCAGCAAGGCCTCAGCCTGGCTGGCTGGCGCCCCGCCCCACTGCACCTGCCCTGAGCTGGGGTTTCCCTGTCTGTGAACCCGATGGTAAGACACTGGTCCCACCCCACCCTTCCTGGGTGATGTGAAGATTCAAGGTGTCTCGGGACTCCAGGAAGGAGTTGCTCAGTGCAGGCTGGCACCCTGGGCAGGCTTCCTAGAGGAGGCGCCAGGATTTGGGTTGGATCTTGCAATGTGGATTCAATGTGAGGATGATGCCGTCCTCTGAAATGTCCTTCTCCCGACCCTGTTTTCTTTGTTAAATGCAACTTGACACTTGACTGTCAAGACTCAGTTTTGGTGTCACCTCCTCCAGGAGGGTCCCCCTGACTACAATCCCCCTTCTTTACCCAGAGGCCACCATTGCCCACTCATGTGTCAGCCTCCCTGGCTGAGACTGAGTTCTTGAGGGTGGGGCCTGGCCAGCTTGGGAGCTGGGTTGTATCTGCTAACATTGCCGGTTCCTCCAGCCGCGTGCAGAGCTCCAGGGAGGCCACTGGGCCATTCCTAAGGCAGGCTGGAACCCAGGCCTCTGGGTCAGGGTAGAGATCCCACTCCAAGGGGGCCGGGAACACCCCGAGCCCTGCCCCTCCCCACCCACCTTCAGGTCATAGAAGATGATGTCACCGAGCACCAGGTACACCTTCACGTAGTAGAGGGTCTCCTCGTCGAACTCCAGTGGCGAGTTGCAGAGCTACAGGGCCTTGAGGTAGAACTGCTCTGCCAGCTTGCCCTGGCCCAGCTGATGGTGCAGGACAGCCAGCCAGTGGTAGGCCACGTGCTCGTTCAGCCGGTCCCCTGGGGTGCAGGCCAAAGGGGCAGGTGTGAGGATGCGGCTCCCTGGGGCAGGGAGGGCACAGGCCCCTCAGGAGCAGGTATGCAGACCCCGGGCAGCACACCTGGCTTGCCTCCAGGCACCTGCGGTCGCCTGGGCAGCTCTGGCCAGTCCCTTCCAGGTTCCCAGACTCACTTTCCCATCTGCAAAGCAGAACTAATAAGGCCTGCCCCTGTCTACTGTGAGGCTTTGGCAAAGTCGGACTTGGATGGCCCAGCTCTGTGCCTACACATAGCCACCTGCCTTTGCTCACTGGTTTTAACCAGGGGAGCCCAAAAGCCATGCAGTCCAGGTGCTCCCGGGCACCCCGGCTCCAGGCAACCCACAGACGTGACATCCGACTCCTCCTGCGTGTGTCACAATCAGAGCCCCCTACTTTGGGGAGTCAGCTGCACACCTACTGTGTACTGGGCCACGGGGCACAAGGTGCTGGGGCATGCGGCCTGCCTAGGGTTCCCTGTCTCTGGAGGGGGACAGATGACCCTGGCACAGCACCAGGGGATGCCCGGCCTTAAGGGGCAGACTGCTGGAAGGAGAACTGGGATTTTATCAGCCAGAGAGCCGTGTGGTTGATGAGGTTGGGAAGGGCACAAGATAAAGGGAATGTGCCACTCAGCCTGGCACATACAGGGACCAACGAGATGCCTGGCATGTCTGGAAGGCAGAGGGCACACTGGACGGCCCTTGTGGTCAGCAGCAGGAACAGGCAGAGGAAGCAGAGCTCAGTCAGGCAGGGAGCTCTGCACTGCGTGAGAGACCTCGGGCTGTGCCCCACAGCCGGATGGGGAAGCCAGTTGGGCAGATCTGCCTGCCTGGACAGGAGACCAGGAAAATCCAGCAGCTGTTTCAGCTCCTGCCTTGCAGACCTGGAGGCTGGGCTCTGGCAAAGTGTGGGTCCTGGCAGGGTGGGGGCTCAGGGGACTTACCCAGAGTGATGCTGAGTGCTAGGGCCATGTAGGCAAACTCCAAGCCATCCTGGGGCTTCTCCAGTGTGGCCAGGAGTGCCACCAGCTTTTTGCACAGCTGTAGCTGCAGCTCCGCCTTGCAGTTGCCCGTAGTCACTGCCAGGGCCAGGGCCAGGACCCGGTCCTACCACACAGGCAGGTGGGGTCAGGTTTCCCACAGCACCCACCTTGCCCAGCGCCCTCCTCAGAGCTCAAACATGTGCTTGGAGCTTCCCACGCCCCAGCTACCCCTGCACCTCCACACAGCTCTGTGCTCTGGGATAACACACAGTTCAGACACCCAAGTTGGGGGCTGAAGAGTCACCTGAGGCCCATCCAGCTACACCCAGCAGCCTCAGACCAGCCTCTCCCACCTGGGCACCAGGGGTCTGACTGGGGGGAGCCAGCACTCCTCTCTGCTCTAAAAACACCACATTTATCTGTGCCCAGGGCTGAGCCACACCGTGAGCTCAGAGGAAGGGAGAAGCCGTCCCACTTCGGGGTGCAAGCAGACCTGGGCCTCCCACTGACATGCTGTGTGTCCTTTGACATGTCCCTGTGCCTCTCTGAGCCTGTTTCCTCATCTGGAAGATGGGGACAGGACTTCTCGCTCATGGTTGCTTGAGATCATCAGGTACAAGGGTAGAGCCATTGTCACGTCCAGGCCCCAAACGTTTGTCCCGGGCAGGGGCACGGTCAGTATCATTCCCGGTGAGAACACTGGGAAACTAAGCATGTGCATGGGTGGCCCTGCCTCCAGGTGGGAGGCCTCTGCCCTGCCACAGCTGTGCCTCAGCCCTCCAGGTGCCCCCTGAGGCCCACCCGCATCAGCCCACAGGCCAGCTCACCCGGTAGAAGGACACGGCTTTCTCCCGCTCCCAGGCCCCATTGAAGAAGATGTCTCCAGCTGCCTCAAACAGCTGCAGCCCCAGGCTGGGGTCGCCTGTGTACAGGACCACATTCTGTGCCACCTGAAAGGAGACAGAAGTTCCCTCAAGACCCACACCTGGCGAGATGGCCACGCCCACCTTTGCCAGCCTCCTTCCTCTCACACACTACAGGTACACCTGAGCATTTTTCAGACCCTGTGCATTAGGGCTGCCCCCACCACTGGCATGAGGACAATGAACTGATGCACCTGAGTGCCAGGAGGTGACTGAGCAGCTGCAGCCCAGGAGCCCGACACCTGTGAATCCTACCACCAGGGCTAGCCCTAGCCCACTCCCCCTGCACTCAAACCAGTCTCCGTGGCCCCCAGATTGCTGGGAGCCCAGCCCCTGGCTCCTTTCTGCGTTGCCACATCCCTGCCACATCAACAGCGTTTGTGGGTGGGCCTGGTCCCCTCTTGGCCATGAGCTCTTGATCCCTCTTCTCAGCTCAAGGAGGTATACAGCAGATGCTCAATAATGAAAGCTTCACCAGGCTCGTGGGCTTCACAATTTGTTCCAGATCACACTGTGTTTGGGAAAGCCTCTGAAAACAGCCACTATGATAGATTCATTTTGTAAGGAGATGTGCCACGTGTCGCTTGGAGCAAGTTCTTCTGTGTGTTAACTGAGTGGTCACATTATTTGAGCATGTGCTGTATACCAGCAGGTGCTGGGCACTGTGAGGGGCCGCGCCTCTGCCCTCAGGGAGAAGATGCTGGCCACTGGGGGAGGATGTGAGGGAACCAATTGGAGGGAGGGAAAAGCACACAACAGGTGCTCAGCAGTGGCTTAGGAATGAGTGGATGGATGGATGAATGGATGAGGAGATGTAGACACATGGATGGATGGATGAGTGTGTGGATAGATTAATGCTGGGATGGATGGATGGATGGATGGATGGACGGATGAATGGATGGACGGACGGGTGGGTGGATGACGGGTGGATGGATGGATGGATGGATGGGTGGATGGATGGATGGATGGGTGGATGGATGGATGGATGGATGGATGGGTGGAATGATGTGTGTATGTCTGTATGTATGTATGGGTGGGTAGATAATGTATAGATGGGTGGAGGGTAGACGATGTATGTGCATATGGATGGATAGATGGTGGATAGACGAATGTATGGATAAACAAATTGACAGATAGATGAATGGAGGGATGGATTAATAGGTAGATTGGTGGGTGGATAGATGAATGACGGATGGATGGACGAACAGTGAATGGATGGATGGGAGAAAGGATGGATGATGGAAGGATGGATGGATGGATGAATGGATGGGTGAATGGATGATGGATGGATGGAAGGATGAACAGGTGGATGGATGGATGATGGAAGCATGGATGGATGATGGATGGATGGATGAATGGATAAATGGATATGTGGATGGATGATGGATGGATGGAAGGATAAACAGGTGAATGGATGGATGATGGAAGGATGAATGGACAGATGGATGGAACAACAGGTGAATGGATGGATAGACGGGTGAATGGATGGATAAAAGGATGGATGAATGATGGATGGATGAATGATGGATGGATGAACGGACAGATGGATGGATGAAGGGACAGATGGATGGATGAATGGACAGATGGATGGATGATGGATGGATGGATGGATGGATGATGAATGGATGGATGGATGATGGATGGATGGATGGAAGGATGAACAGATGAATGGATGGATGATGGAAGGATGGATGGATAAATGGATAGATGGATGAATGATGGATGGATGGAAGGATGAACAGGAGGTGAGTGGATGGTTGATGGAAGGATGGATGGATGACAGATGGATATATGGATGAATGGATAAATGGATGAATGGATGGTGGATGGATGAATGGTGGATGGATGGAAGGATGAACAGGTAGATGGATGGAAGGATGAACAGGTGGATGGAAGGATGAACAGATGGATGTATGGAAGGATGGAAGGATGAACAGGTGAATGGATGGTTGATGGAAGGATGAATGGATGGATGGATGAACAGGTGAATGGATGGATAGACGGGTGAATGGATGGATGAGAAATGGATGGATGATACAAGGATGGATGATAAAAGGATAGATGGATGAATGGACAGATGGATGGATGATGGCTGGATGGATGATGGATGGATGGATGGATGGATGGATAAATGGATGGATGGATGGATGGATGATGGATGGATGGATGATGGATGGATGGAAGGATGAACAGATGAATGGATGGATGATGGAAAGATGGATGGATGATGGAAGGATGGATGGATGGATGAATGGATAAATGGATGGATGGAAGGATCAACAGGAGGTGAGTGGATGGATGATGGAAGGATAGATGGATGATAGATGGATGGACAGATATATGGATGAATGGATAAATGGATGGATGGATGAATGATGGATGGATGGAAGGATGAACAGGTGAATGGATGGATGATGGAAGGATGGATGGATGAATGGACGAACAGGTGGATGGTGGCTGAATGAATGGATGATAAAAGAATGGATGGATGATGGATGGACGAATGGATGGATGGATGGATGATGGATGGATGAAGGATGAACAGGCGAATGGATGGATGATAGAAGGATGGATGGATGGAAGGATGAGCAGGCGAGTGGATGAATGATGGAAGGATGGATGGATGATGGAAGGATGGAAGAATGAACAGGTGAATGGATGATGGAAGGATGGAAGAATGGATGGAGGGATGGATGAACAGGTGAATAGATGGATGGATGATAAAAGGATGGATGATGAATGGGTGGATGGATGGACAGGTGAATGGATGGATCATGGATGGATGGAAGATGGTTGGTTGGATAATGGAAAGATGGATGGAAGGATGGATGGAAGGATGGACGAACAGGTGAATGGATGGATGAAGAGGTGAACTGAAGAATGATGGATGGATCGATGGATAGAAGGGTGAACAGTTGGATGGATGATAGATAGATGGAAGGATGGATGGATGGACGAACAGGTGAATGGATGGATGGACAGGTGAATGGACGGATGATAAAAGGATGGATGGTAGATGGATGGATGGATGGAGGGATGGATGGATGGATGGAGGGATGGATGATGGATGGATGGATGGATGCGTGGAAAGACGAACAGGTGAATGGATGGATGATGGGATGATGGAATGATGGAAGGATGGAAGGATGGAAGGATGGATGGATGGATGATAGATGGATGGATGGAAGGACATACAGGTGTATGGGAAGATGATGGAAGAATGGATGGATGGATGGATGATGGATGGATGGATGGATGGAAGGATGAGCAGGTAAAGAGATAGATGATGGAAGGATGAATGGATGGGTGGATGGACAGGTGAATGGATGGATAGATGGGTGAATAGATGGATGATAAAAGGATGGATGAATGATGGATGGATGGATGGACAGATGGATGGATGGATGGATGGATGGAAGGATGAACAGGTAAAGAGATGATGGAAGGATGAATGGATGGGTGGATGGACAGAAAGTGAACAGCACAGGGGTCCTCCTGCATCCCTTGCCACTCACCTGGATGTACAGGTCCACCAGCTCGCTCTGCCGCAGGATGTAATAGATCTTCCCTGCTTGCAGCCAGGCATGCGCCTCCTTCTCTTTCTTCTGGAGGTCAATGAAAATCCCCAGACTTCGTTTGGTGTAGTCCAGAGCAGATCTGCAGGCCCTGGAATCAGAAACAGGTGTCAGAACAAGGGTTCTCATCCTCCTGGAACCAGTCTGCCTCCTCCCGTGGGTCTGGTGACAGATGAATCTGGAATGTGCAGACTGGGAACGGCCCTCTTGTGTGTGCAGTGTTCTGCCCTTCCCAGGCTGCTGGGAGGGCCAGGGTGAACACACACGGCGTGGAAAAGATGAAGGACATCCTTCTGAGGGAATCGAGCATCATGCTGCCCTGTGGCAGGAGGAGTGTGCTAGTCCATCTCCCCTGCCTCCCAGACATGGCCTTTGTCTTCTCCAGACGCACCAGGTGCCGTTAGTGTTCAGAGGCTATCTCGGTGGATGGTTCTCAAGGTGTGCAGGCATCACAGTCACCCGGAGGCCTGTCTGTATAGCTTGCTGGCCCTGCCCCCAGAGCTTCCAGCTCCACAGGCCTGGGGCAGGCCCTAGAACTCCCACTTGCCACAAGCTCCTAGGTGACATGGATGCTGCTCTACTGGTCCAGGGACTACACTTTGAGAAGCATGGCTCTAGCACACTGGCCCATTTTCCTTCTGTGAACCTAAGGCCAAGACTGGAGCCAGTCTCCCGGGTCCCCATGGAATCTGGCTCCTTCCCTGCTCTCTCAGTAAGTCCGACACTTGATGGGGTGTGACTGCGGCAATGTCACTGGGCCCTGTGGGTGGGGTGGCCAGGGCCATGGTTACCCCACCAGGTCAGGATGCTTGGGGGAAGCCGAGTAGGCCACATATGGGACGTGAGACCTTGAAACCCTGCCCCAGGGAAGCAGGTGACACAACTGGCTCTGTCTTCTGTGGGAGAGAAGCCACAGGTGGCTGCTGTGGTCACATTTAAGGGGACAGATGAAGGCCAGGAGTGAAGATTCGGGGCAGACAGAGGTCAGATGACAAAAGCCACCATAGTAGGAAGAACAGCCCAGAGTGCACGTACTGCCTCTGCTGGGGTGGAGATGACCTTTGACCCAACAAGGGAGGCTCAAGCTGGGACTCACGGGCCAGCAGCAGCCCTGGGACGACCCCAGGCCCACCAGCTCAAAGCATCGGATGCCAAGGAACCAAATGATCAAAAGGAGAGGGGCTGCTGGGGTCCTGGGCCAGCTTTCTTGTGCCCCCCTCCCTGCCCTGCCTGCCCCCACCCCACCACTGCAAAGCCAGCCCTTACCGCTTGTTGCCCAGGACAGGTAGAGTTGACTGATGGTCTCCAGGAGCTGCCCCTCCAGCACCTTGTCGGCCACCTTGCGGGCCAGGGAGAGCTGGAGCTCATGGTAGATGACACACTGGGCCTCGCTGGGCATGACGGTGCTGTAGAAGTAGCACAGCCACTGGACAGTCCGCAGCTGGCCTGGGCAGAAGACAAAATGGAAGACGTTAGTCTCCCAGCATTGAAGCGAGGCTGGCTGGGCTCGGAGGCCCCTGCGCTGTGCTTGCCTCTTTCACACCTCCGTGAACCTGGGCCCCATAGGCGGGGAGACTGAGCGCAGACAGGCCATGCACCCGTGCCAGGGCAGACGCCAAGCACACCGTGACATGGGCACACCTTGGTGCAGAAGCTCACGGTAGAGGCCGGCCTTCTTTACAACTCCCAGGGCCGAGGTCCTGACCAGGCTCGGTGCCTGCACCAGGCCATCTATTTCTGCTTCACAAAGCCCCTCTGCCCAGGACCAGGGCTGCCTTCAGCCTGAGCTGATGAGGCCAGGGGCACAAGGAGCCCCTGTCACAGATGGAACCCTGAGAGAGCAAAGCCAAGTGTCATGTCCGCCACACACGGCATCATATTGGGGGAATGGGGTTCAAAGCCGGCCCCTGGCATTCCCACACATGCTTCTCTCATGCAACCAGGCTCCCAAGCCACAGGCTCACTGGTCTCTCCCAAATCCAGGGCGCTGGGAATGGTGGAAAGTTTCTGATTTTCTAGTTCCAGAAACATTCCGGAGATTAACACAGGAAACCAGGTACGCCGAATGGACATCTGTTACACACGCCACCCAACGACAGCTGAATACACAGTCCTCTCGAGCACCCAGGGGACATTTCCCATGACAGACCATGTGCCAGGCCACAAAATGAGCCGCAGTGAAGGGAGAAGGACTGAGACCAAAGCAGAGGTGTTCTTCAGCTGTACTGGCACAAAACTGGAAATCAACAGTGAAGGAAATGTGGGACATTCAAAAATATGTGGAAATTACACACTCCTAAACAACCAGTGAGTCAAAGAGACCATCAGGGAAACCGAAAACTAATTTGAGAAGAATGCAAACAAATGCACAGCCCGGGCCAGCGCGGTGGCTCACGCCTGTCATCCCCGCACTGTGGGAGGCCGAGGCGGGAGGATCGCTTGAGTCCAGGAGTTTGAGATCAGCCTGGGAAACATGGTGAAATCCCGTCTCTATAAAAAAATAAAATATAAAAATTAGCTGGGTGGGGTGGTGCATGTCTGTAATCCCAGCTACTCGGGAGGCTGAGGCATGAGAATGGCTTGAACCTGGGTAGAAGTTGCAGCGAGCCAAGATTGCACCACTGCACCCCACCCTGGGCAATAGAGCAAAACTCCATCTTAAAAAAAAAAAAAAATAGCAGTGTATCAAAAATTCCAAGATGCAGCTAAGGCAGTGCTGAAAGGGAAATTTATAACGGTAAATGTCTACATTCAAAGAAAGAAGAAAAATCTCAAATCAAAATCCTAACCTTCCACCTTTAGAAACTAGAAAAAGAATGAACTAAACCCAAAGCGAATAAAAGGAAGAAAATAATAAACATGAGAGTGGAAATGGGAAGTAAAAATACAGAGAATGGAAAAACAAGAGAGATAATCAACAGAACCAAAAGTGGGTTTTTTGAAAATAATAACAAAATTGACAAATCTTTCACCAGACTGACCAAGAAAAGAAAGATGGACACAAATGACTAAAATCAGAGACTGAGCCCCATGGCTCACGCCTGTCATCCCAGCGCTTTGTGAGGCTGAGGTGGAAGGATCGCTGAGGCCAGCATTCAAGACCAGCATGGGGGAACATGATGAGACCCCATCTCTAATAAAAAGAAATAAATAAGAAATTAAAAACCCAAGTTTCTAAAATCAGAAATGAAAGAGGAAACATTATTGCTGACCTGACAGAAATAAAAGGATTCCATGAAAACACTACGAACAATTGTAGACCAACAAATCAGACCATCTAGACACAACAGCCAACTCCTAGAAGGACACAAACTACCGAAAGTGACTCAAAAATGACCCCAAGTAAGCATGTGGGGTATTAGCCCCGTCCTCGGTCTCCTCGACCGTTCAGCGCAGGGTGGGGAGACAGGGAAGCATGATCCCCGTTCCCTGGCCTGCATTTCCAAGTCTGAATCCCCCAGCACCCCCGGGGACCGCCTCGTAGGAGGAGGTGCCACAGGCTATTGTGCCAGGAGCCACGGGAGGCTGCAGTGGGGGCTGGGGCGCTGGATTCCTGGAGGGTCTCCTTCCAGTGAGAGAATGCCCCTGGGGAAGAAGCCTGGGTCTGAACCCCCCACCCCTCCTTGGGCAGATGTGTGGGACCGGGGCCCCTTCACACGGTCTTTCCCAAAGTCTCATCCCTCCTAGGGCCAGGAGTGGGTGCCAGGCCTGTGCTGGGAAATGGGCAGATTTGGCCACAGCCCCTGGGGCTCTGGTCCAGGCCACAGGAGGCACCTCTGAGTGGTCTCACTATGCCATGACAAACCGCTGCAAGGCAGAGGGGACCCACAACAGGATCCCTTGTCTCGGCCATTTCCCTGGACTCAACTTCCTCATCTATCCTCTGCGGCCTAGATTTCGGACAGCCCTGCCCACTGACTGTCCGTTCACTGCTCAGTCTGCAGTGACTGTTCGATAGCACTCCATGGCTCCCCAGTGCTCTTGGGGAAAAGGCCAAGCCACAGCCTGAGGCCCCAGGCCCTGCTTAGCTCTCCAGAAGAGCTTCTCACCATCCAGCACCCAACTCACCCACTCCTAACTCTGCACCTCCCTGCATAAGCCCTGCTCACTCACCCCTGCTCACACCCCACTTATCCCTGCTCACACTTCCGCTCACTCACCCCAATCACACCTCCGCTCACTCACCCCCACTCAGTCATCCCCACTCACTCCCACTCACTCACCCCATCACACCTCCGCTCACTCACCCCCACTCACTCATCTCCACTCACACTCCCGCTCACTCACCCCCACTCACTCACCACCACACCCCACTCATCCCCGCTCACACTCCTGCTCACTCACCCCCATCACACCTCCGCTCACTCACCACCACTCACTCATCCCGCTCACACTCCCGTTCACTCACCCCCACTCACCCCACTCACTCACCCCCACTCAATCACCCCCACTCACTCACCCCCGCTCACACCCTCTTCATCCCCGCTCACTCACCCCCACTCGCTCACCCCTGCTCACACCCCACTCATCCCCACTCACACTCCCTCTCATTCACCCCATCACACCTCCGCTCACTCACCCCCACTCACTCACCACCACTCACCCCCACTGGCTTATCCCTGGTCCTTCACACAGGCTACACCACCAGCCCCTCCCCACCACCTATTACTTGACTAAATCCTCTCAACCCTCTGGTCCCAGACTAAAGAGGCTTCCCTAACCCCGGGGCCAAGTGCTGCCCCGCCATCATGCCACTCACCCTTTTGTGGCTTCTCTGGCCTAAAGCTCACATTCCCACGCTTAGTCCCTGCCACCCAAGGACCCCACAAGCCCCATTTGTGGGTGGGGCCTGACACACACTGCACAAGAGCTGCTTTTGCATGAACTGCTCTGCGGCTTTGGGCAATCACCCGCCCCGTGTCCTCTGTGAAGTGGGATGACAGGTGCGCAGGCTGCCAACATACCAAGCAGATAACACGGGCACAAGAACCGGCGTTCAGGGCCTGGCTCATGGAGGGGCCCCAAGTCCCAACTCAGCAGAGCCTGCCTTGATCCCAGGGTTATGGCTAGGGATTCCCAGCACGCAGGACTTTCTGTGCTCAAGGCAGCATGGTCCCTGGGCAAACTGGGAAGAGCTGGCTGCCCCAGTAGGGCAGAGGGCCTGGCCCTGTGTGGGAACTGCCTGTCTCCAGGGCGCTTGCCAACATCTGCTGCTGGCCATGACTCAGCACTTTCAATGGTGGAAAAACCACCCCTTGTTTCTGAATCACAAACCCCAGGTGTGCCCTGACCCGAGTGGCCCCAGAAGGCGCACAGGAGGAACCGGGGCACTCACTCTCCACATGGCCCATCCCCACAGTGACCAGAAGGGCCCACTCATAGTAGCCCTTGCCCTGCTGGGCCGGACCCTGGTGGGTGCAGAGGTGGCCCAGCTGCAGGAGCACGTGGTGAAGTCCCGGCCACACTCCCTGCAGGGCAGCCTCGAGAACAGCCGCACGGCCTCCAGGAGGTAGTGCTAGGCCATGCTGCTGGCACCCGCGTGCAGGCACAGGGTCCCGAAGTTGGCCAGCACCACTGCCTGGTTCCTCCGCTGGCCCAGGTCCTGAGCTGCCCGCAGGGTGCTGTAGTAGCCCTAGGCTGCCTGTCTCGTCCGGCCCAGCAGGGCAAGGGCTACTATGCCTTCAGAGCCACGTCTCTCTCTTGTCATCTAACCCATTTAAACTCTCCTTTCAAACTATATGCCAGACCTAACCACCTCTCACCTTTCTCATCATTTCCAACCAGGTCCAGCCCTCATCATAGCGCTCTGGGTTACTGCAAAAGCCTCCCAATCGCCAGGCACAGTGGGTCATGCTTGTAATCCCAGTACTTTGGTAGGCCAAGGCAGGTGGATCATCAGAGGTCAGGAGTTCAAGACCAGCCTGGCCAACATGGTGAAACCACTCTACTAAAAATACAAAAAATTAGCCAAGCATGGTCGTGGGCACCTGTAATCCAAGCTATTCGGGAGGCTGAAGCAGGAGAACCACTTGAACTCAGAAGGCAGAGGTTACAGTGAACCGAGATCGTGCCATTGCACTCCAGCCTGGGTGACAAGAGCGAAACTCCATCTCAGAAGGTTAAAAAAAAAAAAAGCCTCCCAACCCACTTCTCTCCTTACACCTTTCACCCTGCCCTGCATTCTACCTTCCACTCTCAAACATTTCAGGAAAAAAAAAAAATTGTATCCACAGAGAGAGAAAGAGAAAGTACAAATGGGGTGAAATGTTTGGGGAATCTGAGGGAAGAGTATATGGGAATTCTCTGTACTATTTTTGCAAATTTCTATAAGTCTGGATTATTTTGAATTCAAGAGTTAGACAA